GGGAGCTTGTTTGCCTGCCCGTTGAGTAGAAGCACCTGCATGTCATACATAAAGCATATTTGACAATAAAGATGACCTTGACCTTGACTTGACTAAAGCCAAACTGTGGCAGGGTTTCTACTTTCAGGACCTGGATTTGACACCTCTGAAGATGAGTGAGTGAGTGAGTGAGTGAGTGAGTGAGTGAGTGAGTGAGTGAGTGTTACCTCTGAGCAGGAAGGCTGCCTGGAACGAAGAATGGGCTCTTCAAACACCTTCCTATACGCAATGGTGGAGCCAAGTATGCCCGGATTAACAAATTCTATGATGGCGTAGAACTCCTGCAAGTCGTTCTGCACTGGGGTACCTTCAAAATATATTTAGTAAATTCAGAGAGAGACCTTGTCGATTTCTCGCAGAAGTCAAGAGAGGTGCAGCTCAAGCACCTGTGAGTATGACCCTGCGAGCACAGCTCAGGCTGCTGAGGGCCGAGGACGTTTTGATGCTACTGTTCTTTAATCTGTGACCCTCGTCGCAGATGATGAGACCAAAATCCACTTTTTGCACCTGAGAACACAAAGGTGGCATTCAGGAGATCTCATTTCGTATGATTCCACAGGAAAAGTTGCGGACGGGAGGTGGGCAAACCTGTTCGAGGCAGCGCAGTAGCATTTCGTAGCTGATCACAAGAACATCGTGCAGAGGAGACAAGACAAACTGCTCGATCCTGTGGTCCTTCATACGACAACAGACAGTATAAAAAGAAACAGACAACTATGAGAAGAATGGTCCCAGTAAATTCGATCACAATGTTAGATATGCCTGCACAATTTCGTCAGACCATGTACAAAACAGCTTTTAAAATTTTGTCTTTACATATTTTCTCTATTTAGAACCAGAAACGTTTGCAAACACTGTTGACAAAAAAAGACCGCCAACAGCAACATATTTTTTAAATCAGTCATTCTGCATGTTAGTTGAGAGCCTACTTCCTGTTTATGGAGGATTGTGCACATTACAGAGATGCTGCTAACAATTTGATTCTTACAAAATTATAATTGACTTACAAGTAATGTATTTTCTATACAACCAACATATAGTGAACAAAATGCTCTTCCACTTGATGGCAGAAGGTAATTCGTGTCATTTAACCTGCGTAACCGCCTGTTGTCGTTCCTACAACAGAATAAGTCACGGCACGCACATGTTGACTAAGTATATTTGAAGATCTCTTTCCTCACTTGATCCACTGTGAAAACGTTGATCCTCTCACGACCAAGCCATTTGTTGAACTCGGCGCCCCAGTTTTGCACCAGGCTACCCGGCGTAACAACCAGCGCACGCTTGGCAACCGCTTTCCCTCCGTACGGACCCTGCTTGAGCAAAGTCCAGCAGAGAGCCACGCTCTGGAGGGTTTTCCCCAGACCCATCTCATCAGCCAGGATAGCCCCGTAGCGCCCTGCGGCTCTGATGATTGAAAGAGAATGGACGCTAAACAACGGGAGAGCTCACAAATGTGGACACGTGATAATACCTCATTCCCATGACACATTCATAGAGAAAGAGCAGGCCATCTCTCTGATGGGGACGCAGCTGAGCCGTCAAGTGCGGGTCAACCACCACATCGACCACAGGAAGCCCTGACTTGTTATTTGACCACTGGTGCTTGAGAGAGGGCCGGGGCATCACCAGAGCACCTAAGAATGATACAAAGGATAACTTTACATAGAAAGAGAACCTGATTGAATAAAGGTGATTGAAGACAGTGGATATAAAACTGATTGAGTCTACACACCGGCGGCTTGTGGATCATGGCGAGGCCTGCAAATTTGTTGCTCCCTTGGTTGGGATCCAAGATGCTCCGCTCTCCCCGACAAAGAAGGGGGGCAAAAAGGTTTGGATGCTCGGCGGTGTGAAGGAGGGGGAGCCGTCTTTTGGAGGATGTCTTCTACCCGTGCTTCTTGGAAACAACGTCCCGTGGCAAACGTTTCTGCGGATATGACTCCCATCACCTCCACTTCTTTCGCTCCGATAATCAGGGTCTCTCCCTCAGTGAGTGACGCCAGCACTGACATTTTGTAGCCGCTACCTATAAGGGCAGGCAGTGCCATAACATGATTGTTATTTTCAATTTTTTTTTTTTTGCATGCCAACCACCATGTGAAATGTAGGAAAAAAATCAAATTTCACTTATTTGGTTCAAAAACTGTTTCCCCCCCAAAAAAATGTTGAGTATATTTGTATATTTGTCATTGCAAGTGAATACCTTTCAACAGGCATTCTAATAACAGAATACTGCAGCTCTATGTTCAACAGATTTCACAACTGAGTACATTTTTCGTGACTCGGAGAGCTAAAAAGAAATCAGCAGGCTGTAGCGGATTCTCTATATGGGGTCCAGTATGATGCAATGCTCTAGCTGTGGAAATTTGAGCAGCTACCTCGAGAGAAATGTTTAAATCTCAACTAAAGACTGATTCATGCAGAGTTTCTTGCCCCATTTCACCATCTTACATCTGGACTTTGGCCTGTTTTACTGTCACTTCTCATCTAGGTGGTGATGAGTGAAGGGAGCAGATTGCTGCCGATGATTCCAAATGGACTGAACAAGACACGAAACTGAGGAGGACCACTTCCTCAGAGGCTACCTGTGGCTCATTTCATTAACTCTCATCCTGTGTTGACAAACATTGTACAGCATCATATCATGTGATAACCGTTGCCCACTGGACATCCATTGCATCCCGGTCATCCTGGAAGAGTGACTCCTCCATCTGTGCCTCCTCATGATTTCTTCCCCTCACAAATTGGTTTTCTTAGAGTATTTACTTGACCGAACCGCGGTGCTCTCGAGGAAGGGGTATGGTTGATTTTTGTGAACTGTAAGGCCCTTTGAGGACACGTGACTGAAAACTAAATGAATAAACCTGACATTGGTTCACAATACCTCACCCTGGCCGATGTCCTTGCCCTCCATATCCTTCAAGGTGGCCGTGCGACCCTTCGTCACCAGCACGGCATCCCCCTCCCAGCGCTTGTGTTTCTTTTTGCTGGCCTTACACCACATCACGCTGAAGTACCGCACCATGTCCTGGTTGCATTCTGTATTTGGGACTGGATTTGAAACGGCACATCCTTGAAGGGGGCCTGTGGAAACAAACGCAAAATAGTGATGAAGAGTATCCTGGATGCACAGGCAGGCCCCATCAGCAGATGTCCCTGTTGCACCAGTTGTGCACTCACATCCACTCAGAGCCACTCACATGCATTCAAGTAGAGTGCTCCCTTGCAACATTTGGACAGAAAAACCAAGTTGAAATGTCTATGAAAAATAGGCATTCAAAAAGTAGGTCAAGTGGAGGTGTGATTAAAAAAAATAAATCAAAACCTCAGTCTAGTAACTTTCTTTTAATAGAAAAAGACACCAAAAAATAGAGAAACAAAAACTAACAACACCCAACAGTGATTTCCCCAAAGTACAATATTCCATTCACTTGTATTCACTGGCAATCGATTTCATTTTCATGCCATTTTTAGCAACACACTGAATGTGACATGACAATATACAACGAAACATCCACAGTTGAACGTGGGGGGAAAAGTGGGAGGGACCATCATCACAGTGACATCATTTGAGACTTCAACACTGTTAGTGTATGACAAATCAAATGTGTTTTCACCTTTTAAGTCACTCAACTTTTACTGGACGATGTGACTTTTCATTAGACATGTGTAAGAAATTAAAAACGATAGCTTCCCTTGTATAGCATTGTTTTAGGGCTGCAACTAAGGATTATTTTAACAATCAATTAATCTGTGGATTAATTTGATTTAAAAAAAACGTTTCATTTTTTTCCAACCCGTTCTTCAAAAAAGGACATTTTTTTCAAATTGACATTTCAGAAAATGCATGAACCTTCTTTTCATGATTTGATTATCCGCATCATGTCGGAAAATAGGCAAAAATATTGATCAGTGTTTTCCAAAGTAAAAGTTTCATTAGACATGTGTAAGAAATTAAAAACGATAGCTTCCCTTGTATAGCATTGTTTTAGGGCTGCAACTAAGGATTATTTTAACAATCAATTAATCTGTGCATTAATTTGATTTAAAAAAAAACGTTTCATTTTTTTCCAACACGTTCTTCAAAAAAGGACATTTTTTTCAAATTGACGTTTCAGAAAATGCATGAACCTTCTTTTCATGATTCGATTATCCGCATCATGTCGGAAAATAGGCAAAAATATTGATCAGTGTTTTCCAAAGTAAAAGCAGATGGTTGACGATGTTGTATTTTGATGAAGAAATCTGAGCATATTTATTGTGGAGGGAGAAATTCAAAGGATTTGAACAATTTTAGGTCTGTTAATTAATGAATTATCATAACTAATTATCGATTAATTTGGAAATCGGTTTGTTGTCGTGTAATAGTTGTATCTTGACATTGTTTTAAGGCTCACCGTGAGATTTTGTAGACGGTTTCACAAAATGTAAAAAGAGATCACAGATTTTAAACCTGTCCTCATCTGCCACATGGTATGGATGTTTGATTTTAGAACATCATTACATGGTTCAAAACGAGATACGACCCCTGAAACTGGTGTGCAAGCACTTCGTAATGTCCGTGACATCATAGCAGCACGACACAGTGTAACCCATCAATTAATTTTACACAGCAGAGTAGGATTGACAACATCCGGAATTTTGTGTTCTTTTCTCAAGGCGTTATTGGCGTATCTTTTCTGCTCTTTCTTTCCATTTTAGCAGAAAAATTAATATTCTGTTATGAGTATGACTCCTCCTTGGACTGCAGTCTGTCTATCGAAACGCTTTAGAAACTGTATCACTGTGATAGGGTACTAAAAAGTGGTATTTTCTAGCCTTCCAATACCTTTGACAAAATCAATGTCAAATACTCTGATACTGAAGTGGTTGAAGTGGATCTGTTATCTCACGTTCCAGGCCCTGCCTCAGTGTAACCCATCAATTAATTTTACACAGCAGAGTAGAATTGAGAACATGCGGAATTTTGTGTTTTTTTTCTCAAGGCGTTATTGGCGTATTTTTTCTGCTCTTTCTCTTTCCATTTTAGCACAAAAATTAATATTCTGTTATGAGTATGACCCCTCCTTGGACTGCAGTCTGTCTATCGAAACGCTTTAGGGACTGTATCACTGTGATAGGGTACTAAAAAGTGGTATTTTCTAGCCTTCCAATACCTTTGACAAAATCAATGTCAAATACTCTGATACTGAAGTGGTTGAAGTGGATCTGTTATCTCACGTTCCAGGCCCTGCCTCAGATCAACATGTTCCTTCTTGCTAAAGAGGGACGGGCAGCCCATGTCGAAGTCGGGCCACCTTCAGCTTCTCCACTTTGATCTTGGCCCTCAAAAGTTCCTCCTCCAACTGTTGCTTCCTCTTGAGCCCCTCCCTCTTCTCCTCAAGGTACATTGCCACCTTCCTGTGATTGGCTAGCACCAATTCGTGCTCCTCTTTGGCCAGGTGCAAAGGGCGGAAGCGCTCGGACTCGTGATGAGGGTAGACATTGTTTGGGTAGATGTTGTTGGGGTAGAAGTCGTGGTGTAAAGACAGCGGCGAGGCAGAGAGGGGGATGTTGACAGACGAAGGGGCGGGAGACGAGGATGCATCGTAATCCCGGATGCTGTCCGCATGCTGTTCTCCCATCAGCTCCGGGGCCGCCTCCAGCCGCAGCTCTTCGTGCGTGGATGGGAGTGGGAGATCTGGAGGGGGTTTTACATCATCTTCGGTGTCCAGATGGACCACCTCATGGGGTATGGTGGGGACAGCTGCTGAGTAGTCCTGAGGACCAGCCAGGGAAACGCTGCTGCCAGGAGGCTCGATGGGAGATGGGTGCTTACTGTATAATAATCTGAGGATGAACAGCATGACAACAGTAAAAATACGAGCTACATGAGGTTGATTCAAGCATCAAAAAATGGGACAGTTCCATCAGACACCTTTATGCATTCCAACAATAGGGGAATGCATGTCCTGCCTATTTTCCATTTCTCCCTGCTGAAACACACCTGATTCAAAGGACTGAGTTTGGACACCCCAGTATTAAGATGTTTGATATCATAGTTTGTTGTATGTTGACAATTAAATGATTAATACAGGGAATTACAAACAATTTTAGGTGGACGTCAATTGTTTGCGAATTTTAGCTACTTGCTGTAGGGCTCGGGTGTATGTTTGCCCATCCCTGCTCTACTGTGTGCTGAAGTTTGCAACTGTTACATTTTAAGTAAACATTAAAGCCATAAAATACAATGAAACATCAATACTATTTTGGGCATTGTTCTCAAGTACCAAATCAAAACACTAACACATTTTAAGTTTAACTCTGAACAAAAAAATCTCTAGCTCTGGACTAATATGATTATATTTATCTTTCAAATCTCGTTCTGTTGGAAATAAAAGGAGATTTCTAAAGACTACTTGTATATATACTGGAGGGATGTAGTGTGCACTCTGATTTTCTTTCATTCTTCTCTTAAGGTGAAAAAAACCCCAATACAACTAACAACATTATTTTGCAGCTTCTGCTGAATTTTTTGTTTTGCATGTTGAACTAATCTCTTGCTGGTTCTGATGAGTCACTGCGTACCTGCGCAGAGCCAGGTCCTTTTCGTGGATGGGCACATGCTGAAACAGGTGAGGGATCATCTCCATTACTCTCTTGGTTGGCTCTGAGATGCTGGCTCTGTATTCCGGCTGGGCGTGCCTCTGTTGCATCACTTCCTGTTTGGCTGACTCCTTCAGTCTCTTGTAAAGAGTTCTGAGGCCCTGAGCTGTGCGGTGGGGCCTGTCGCCCCCCAGGGCATTGTACTGCTCCGCCACAGTGTCCCAGCACTTGTTCTTGTCCACAATGACTGCGTGTTTGTTGGTGTGTTCCTCCAGGATGCGGACGTGAGGCCGGACGAGCTTCAACAGGTCCAGCTTCTCCGAGAGGGTGAAGTTTGAGGAGCGAGCTTTCCCCACCATGCTGGAAAGGAACACCGAACCGGATGCCATCTTCCAGCCCCAGTCAGGCCTTCAGCTGTCACCACCCCCCACCTTTCTTTTCTTGTCCTGCTGCAGGATTCTCTTATTCCACTGAGACATAAAGTTAACACTGATTTAACTGCTCCATGTCTCTTTTTTCTCCTCTTCCCATTCCAAATCAAACGCGGGCTGTGATATGTCACAAGCGTGAAACCTCACCACTCCTTGGTTTCCTACCTCTGTTTCCTTGCATAAGAAAATCAGGCTTCTGCCGTGCACAATAAGAATCAGGCTTAACTAGGCCAGCCTCGCTTAGGCCCCCGCCTACCTTCCAGGGTTTTGGATGAATTCCTCCCAGCTTAGACTGACGTAGCTAAGCCGCTTAAACCCAGCCCGACCTACTTACAGCTCGGCCTCTCTAAACCCCAAACCGAGCACAGCGAAGCCACGTAGTCTCAACACACAACAAAAGATGGTGACACACATTCACGGGGGGGATGGGGATTTCGGTGGATATCAGTTTATTTGGGGTCGACATTGTGTTTTGGTGGAAAGAGTGTGCGGCGCGGGTTTAACTAACTACACGCTGGGAGGAGTTTAAGGAAGCGCGCTGCGCACGCGCGTCAGCGTGGCTCGTATTGCTGCTACATGCTAATAAAACCGTCGCCGCGAGCTATTCGTTTCCACGAACCCGCCGTGTGGGAAGCGGAGAGGCTGGCTATACACGCCGGGCAGGGAGCCCACTTGTGTGCTCGTCAGGAGCTGAATACGTAATTCAGACCCCGCGGCTGTCGCTGTTCAGCGCCGCCGAGGTCCAGCACAGTCTACCGCGCGCGTCTGTGTTACTATTTCTATTACCAACCAAATACGAGCGATACGCGTGGTTTGCGTCAACTACTAACCATCTAAAAGTGTAGGTATTTTTTTTTTAATAAACAATGTCTCCATTGAGGTCTTGGCTGAAAAGTTAAGGCGAATGTTTGCATAATTCCGAATATCCACCAGAGGGAGACGCCTTGAAAATATAGTTACAGTCAAGCCCTGCCTATTCGCGGCTTGCTATTCATTTCACAAAATGAGCTTTCTACAAGTTGTCCCATTAATGACGGGAACAGCAATTCTTTAGACAGTACAGAATCCCTGGTATCACTTCAATGAAAGGATATGTTCAGCGAATCGTGCAGTGCTTTATTCCTCAGTTCACAATCCAGCCCTGAGGTTCATTTTCACTTATTTAAGTGTTTACGGATCGTAGCTCAGTTACTTACAGGCAAAGCTTTACTCTGAGTGGTATAAATGCACCAAAATTACTGCATGGTGAACACAGATCCTCATTCTTTAATACTGAAATGTTTACCAAATATTGTAAAACAGGGAAGGTGGGGAGATTTAAAAAATAAATCACAACTGTAATATATAATAATGTTAGCTCCTTATTCTGCCGTCTTGCCTTACTAAGATCAATCATTTAAGAAAGTCGGTGATCTCCTTACCTGTTTCTCTGTTGTCTTGTGGTGTTGTGAACTCCTGTGAAGCAGCACCCGGTTCTGTCACAGCAACATTCTCATTTTCAGTGGCACTGAGTACTCGGGCCAGTGCCTTGGACAAGGTTGGTGCTGACTGGACATATGCAATTTTGTTGGGAGGTGGAGCTGCCAGACTTCTCTGGACCTGGTAGGCAAGTAGTTGTGTGAGGAGAGACAATTTGAGCGGTTCTGAAAGAATCATCCAATAGGTCAAGGATTCTTTTTTACCCCCTCTCTTTTGGCCCTTTTCCACCGCACTAGTTCCAGGCCAGTGCCCAGGTTAGCACTAGTTCTTTCTTTTTCCATCACCAAAATTGGCTCTAGTTTTAGCTCTGGTGCTGGAAATTAGTGTTTAAACTGGCCCCAATTATTTGTTGGGCCAGACGTCAGGGAGCGGGTTTATCATGACGATGGCTCTTTGCCGGTGGAAAACCACACGTTCTTCGGAAGTGCTGGCCCTGGTGCCCAATGAGCGGCAAGCTTTTTTTTTTTGGTCAAAAAGGGGTATTAGAGGGTAGACATTTTTACAAGGCCCCACTTGTATTACAAAATCCAATTAACACACAGTAATTCTGTACCATGTGTGTCAGAGGTGGCATTTGCTTCACCTGTACAACTCTACATGAGGAAAGAGCATGTGACAGTGACAAATGCTTCACGTATGCAGGGATGTCAATTTATGTGATACATTACACTCATATCAGAGCTTTTCAATGGTTCACAGCTGGGGTAGGGAGGAGTGATTGAATGTGTATGCTTATTTTACTGGCGCACTGATACTCTTAAGTATGTATTTTGTTTTAATGATACAAGATAATTTTTTGCAAATTATTTTGCGGGCCCCCCAAGTTACAGCTGGCAGAACCTAGTTTGATAACAACTGATAAAGATAGTTTACCTTATTCAAGGCATTGTCCAAGCCAAATTTGGAGCACTGGGTCTTGGGTTCTGCGCCAGTACATGAAGTAGCAGCTCCAGGAGGCACAAAACGAGGCTTTTTCGCCACATTACCCCGTAGCTGACTGGGAGCTGCTGAGCGTCTCATTTTATAAACCCCTTATCTGTTTAAAAAAAGAACAGAAAACAAGATATATGAACATTATATATACAACATTGATTCCAAACCAATGTATTGTCATTAATATTTCAGTATTGTGTGTACTTTTGTGATATTTTCGTTTGGTGGTGTGAAATGAGATTTTTCTACCATAGATTATGTGATTTGGTTTGAGAGTATAATCACAGATGTGCACAGTATATTATAATGGTATTTAATTACAACCATTGCAGTCGAGTCGGTCAACAGTTCAGAATGTAAAATATGTAATTATTCATTAGTTACTGGGATCATGGTTCATTCCTAATTGAGTAAAATGCAACGACATTGGTTCATAATTAATTAATCCAACTAGAACTATTCTTTTGACTTCTGTGTGCCAATAAACACGATACTGTTGATAGCTCAGTCTGTAATGCACTATTAAGATTATTTACTGAGGAGAAAACAATCGTTGTACTATATACATTTTTCAGTGAACCAAAGTAAGCCTTACCTGAAACTGTCAACACATCTAGCGGCGTCCTTTGTTTGTAACAAACGGCCTACAGTAAGATAATTTGAACATAATACAGAAAATAACGATGACAACGAAAAACCGTCCTTGCGACAAGTTGGAGAAGTCAACATTCGTAGTGTTACTAATTGAGTTTGTCTCTGATCCACTGGTTGAAACGGCACTTCGATTCTCTCTCTCACCTGTAACTGCTTCAAACAACAAGGCGTATGCCGGAATACGGTTATGAGTGCATGGCTGTCCATGTCTTATTTTATGTGTTGTGTTATATTACCGTATTTCATTCAACGTTTTTGTTCAGCTGTATCTGTTGCGAACGCCCTATATGTCGTATTCACTTTTATTCTACGAGTAGGATGTATATTTTTCCTGTTTTTTTCCCGCTGAGTGAGCTCTGAAATATGATTGGTTGTAATCCAGGAAGTATGTGAGGCGAACTAGAAAAGGGGTACGTTTGTTTCGTTACATCTTCTAAATGAATTCATTTCAGGCATTTAGAGTTGTTCTTAAAAACAAACAAACAAACAAAAAATACTTTTAACGTTTTAACCAGTGCCTCTGAAAAATATCCATGCTAATTTGTGTTTACATTCAGTTACAAGCAGAGTTCTAGAAAGTGAAAACCCTGCCAAAGTTTGCCTTTGGCCACAAGTACTTCTACTCAACCAGCAGGTAAATTTGCCCGTTTACCTGCCGGTTAGGTACGAGCACCTGTGGCTGGACCTGGATTTGCCACCGCTGGTTGAAAATCGAGAAGACGAAAGAGCTACGTAAGGGACGGGGTCCAATTAACAGCCACGTGACTGACAGGGACCTATCTTTGAATAATTGATTCACTGAGGTGTGCCAAACGTGAAAAGCATTTTATTTTAATCAATTCATTGCCTGACCCCCCCCCCTTTTTTTAACCTTCTTGAAAAAAATATAAAGTATCCAGGATTGAATGTGTGGAGTCTGAAAAGACATAGAAATGTATTTTTCATATTTTATTTTTTTTTTTTATGATTATCCTGTTATGTATTGGAGCTCATTACGAAATACATTGTGTCAAATGGAAATTATTCATTTTCTACACCTAAAGACAATTTAGATTCAATCTGATGCTATTTCTGTAAAAAAAAAAAAAAAAACCATTAACCCATCATAAATGGATGGGATGACATCCATGTGTGATGGGGTGTTGATTTTTGACGTCATCTGCTGTTGTGCAGTCTGTAATCCAATCAAGGAAGGAGAGAGTTTAATCCAAATTAATCCCACATCCAGAGATAGAGAGAGGCCTACAGGGAAATGCAGTGGTAATTTTAACTGCAAGACCGTTAAACAGCTCACCTGGTAACACAGGACAAAGCTGCCATACATCAGCATGTGAGTATCAACTGTTATTCTATCTCATTTGTCGCTCTGATGTGGTCTGACTGTCGTTTGACAGCTGCTTTCCTGTATCCTCCAATCCTTTGTTGTCAGGGATACCACTCCATGGAGATGCACTCCCAGAGGCAGGGGTGGGATATAGGAGAGAGGGGATCCTCATCTTGATGGAGCAACGAGAAAAGAAGCCGGGAAGAGCATAGTTTGGGGAGAAGAGTCACCTGTGGAGGTCACCAAATCAACCGAAAGAAGAAGAGGTGAAACATCAGGTAAGCGCTGGATATAAACGGGATGTAGTCAGTGATGGGCCAAGCCTTTAAATAGGTCTTTCAGCAGAAAATGACACCATTACAAGTGTTATACTGTACATGAACATCGGATTTTGATGTTTGCATCCATGATTACATTTCATGTTTAAGAAAACATTTTGGGGGGGCCCCCGAGCAATCATTATTAGTTTGCTTTCTCCTACTCTGCGTGGTCTGTTGTATTTCTTGCTTTTTTCAGGATGGGTTACGACCGGGAGAGGTTTGTGGGCTATGTGAATGAGGGCCTCCTGTGCTGTGTTTGTCGCGACGTGTTGAGACGCCCCCTCCAGGCACCCTGCGAGCATGCCTTCTGCAGCGCCTGCATCAGTAGCTGGCTGCTCCATCATCACACATGTCCCGAAGACCGGCAGCCGCTGGACGTCGGCAGCCTCAAGCCCCTCTACAGGTTGTGTGCAAGTCGGGTGATAGTATTCATATTGTGGGGAACCAAGAGGGTTCCCCATCTCTTGCCCAAAGTCAGCTGGGATAGGCTCCAGCTCACCAGTGACACTTTGGAGGGCAAGCGCTATAGAACGGTCATGGACAAATGAAATGGAAATGAATGAAATTGGAATTAAATACAATTCAGATTTCATTTTTCTACTTAGGTTTCGTGTGTGTTTGTGTTCACAGGTACATGCGTAACGATCTGAACCGTCTGCAGATCCGCTGCGTAAATGCAGGACAAGGCTGTGAGACGGTATGCTCTTTGGAGAACCTTCACACGCACGAGGAGGAGTGTGACTTTGCCTTTTTGTCATGCTCTAACTCAGGTATGAAGACTTACTTTTCACCACATTAAATCATTCACTATTAATATATACAGTATTTGTAAAACAGCGTAAACCGATATCCATCTGTAGTGTAAAGGTAATCTGAAACCAATGGCAATCAATGTGTGAGAATAACAGGTGGCTCCATTGTTGCCATGGTGACCATACGAGTGGATCTACCGGGCTTGCTTGGGGCAGCCGGGGTCAACTTCCCATAATTTTTTAATAGGTTTTTGTGTACAAACCATGCTCTTGTTCTCTCAACATGACGGCAACACGTTTTTGCTGACAGGAGACCACTACATTTGTCATCATTGTGGTAGGGATGGCAAGCCTTTGGAATTGTTACATGCTGCAGTGTGCAACTTTTGGCTTCCTGTGATCGTTGTATATGCTTTCAAATAGGTTTTCTGTATTAGGGATGGGCATTTGAGTCATTTTACTCAATTGGCCATGAGGAAAATCATGTCACAAAGTTTCTAAAGAAGTGCCGTTGTTTTGTCACTGATGCAGTTCAATCCCAACCAACTCTCAGAGCTGCTCGGCACCCTAGGCAACTGCCTGGGTTGCCTTGCCCTGTTGCAGCATCTCTGGCTTTAAGAAGCTATGATTCAACAACCAACAGAAATGTAGACAATCATTTTACATTTTACCCAGTGCTAGTGTGGAAAAATATAGTGCAAAAATATCGTTTGTTTTTTTTTTTTGGTATGAAAAAAAAACCACCACTTGTGCATTGCAGGGTGTCCTGCACAAGTCGAGAGACGCGGTTTGGAGGCTCACCTGTCAGAATGTAACTTCTGCAGCCGAGAATGTCCCAATGGCTGCGGCCACACTCTTCTCTCCACCGAGATGTCACAACACAACTGCGTGGCAGAGCTGCGTTCTGAAGTGGAAATGCTGCGGTATGTAACCATGAGTGGAGCAGGGCCACCGCCTGTCACCTGTCATAAATTACATTCAAACGTGGACCACGAAGGGTTGAGATGCTGTGCAAGGTGGAGGAGGTGAGACGGGAAATGGAGTCTCGCTTGGACTCGCAGAGGAGACACATGGTGCAGAAGGAGTCACAACTGAAGAACGAAGTTGAGGAGGTGAAGGTAACACATCCACAAATAACAACTTAAGCTTCAAGTCTTTGTGGACTTAAACTTCATTTAGATTTTGAGTTTTTTCCCCACATTAAATAATGGAATTGGTTACTTAAAATGCAGCAACTTTATTTCTTTTTTTTTTTACTTTGTATTGTTAAATAATTGGTAAATTTATTTACATGTCTTGTAAATCACACAAAAAATTATTAGTCAAACAATTAAAACATACGGTTACACATTTATTTTATCAAATAGGCTATTTAGATTATAAGCAACAGAATTTAAAAATGAGAATGAATCATTCTATTAATAAAATACAATAAACTATTTTAGAAATATTATACATATTTTTTTTTAACTTTGTCATCGACATATATCCCGGGCCATTTGTTCATTTTAAAAGTCCAATGTGGCCCAATTCCCAATTATACAACTTATGCCCTCGAATTTAGGACATTAAAATGAGAAATTGCGGATAATTTGACATTTGCAATGACATTTTTTCTCTCTCTCCTGCACAGAGCCAGTTATCCCGTGTGATCTGTGACGTGCGTGCCCTACTTGGAGCAGAACGTCTGAGGCGACAGGAGTTGGCAGAGATAGAGCTGGAGAAGAGAGAACTGCTGGAGCTCCTCAGAGACCTGCACCCCGTCAGGAATCAGCAGTCTGACGACCAGTTGGGCCGAGACCATCTTAAGGAAGACCGGCAGACATTCGGATGGCAAGCTACCTTCCAGCCACTGAGACACCAGCGGAGGGAGGATTCTTTAAATCTACCCAGTGTATCGCTTCACTCGTCTCAGGCTTTAAACGGACCTGGTTGTCCGCCTTCACCTCAGTCGGGTGAAAGTGCACGTAAGAGCGGAACCCAGAGTGTAACGCTGGACTGCATCAAAAAGAAGAGCCGCGAGGTGACGGTTATCTGAGTAGACCGGATCGAAGGCGAGCCAAATAAGAATAGATTTTTAAAAATAAATAAAGCCAATTTTGACTAAAGAGCATGGAGTTGTATCCTTAAGAATTTTAGAAGCAATACTGAGAAGATATAATTTTGTTTGTTTTTTTTTTAATTTCACAGTAAACTTCAACTTGAAGTGGCATGAAACAGCTTGTGACCTCTTTTTCGAAAATTGTTCATTATCTGTCCAACAGCAGCTTCTTGTGAAATGAATTGAGTACGCTGCCACAATACACCGGTCGTATCCCAAAAGTTTGCGACATCTCGTATCTCAAGTGAACGCTCTCTTCAGGACTCTGGCTCATGTAAATGATCGGTCGGTGAGATTAAAGAACAGAGCACCACATATGTGGCCCATGGGACATACTATGCCACCCCTACTTTAAAGGGATTATGACAATTTAAATTTACTTTTTGAATTTCCCAAGTTGCTTCACCGTAGCAATCAATGATGTGAAACGAGAAACAGAACCTCAATAACCAGTACTATGAATTTTATTCTCTGGTTACAACTCAATAACAAATCAACACAAAGATATCCACAGACACTATTCCATGGAGATAGCATAAAACAACCTAATTGGTCCGTTTGGAGCCTTGGCAGGCTTTCAGTCAATGCCCAGGTGAATTTACCTGGTGAAGGAGCGGACGTGTCGACCCCTACCGCCTCCACTCCCTCCCCCGCTGCCAAACTTGCTCACCTGGGAGCCCCTCCCTCCTCCACCACCTCCACCTCCGACGTTGCCGCCTCCGCCTCCTCCACCTCCAGCGCTTAGCCACGAAAGCCCGGTGCCACCTCGGCCGCGTGGAGCGCGATCACGTGGAGCCAAGCGATACGCATCTGGGAAGTTAAGATGGGAGGAAACGTTTAGAAAATCACCGAGCATCCAGTTGGCACAGTTGTGGATGCTTGTGTGTCAGTTCTTACTTGCAGGAAGTTGTCGTGAGGGCAGAGGTCCTCGCGTGAAGTTGCTTTGGCCTCCGCGTGGTTCGCTGTAGGTTCCTCTGTGAGTGACGGCGGGCACTTGTGCGCTCCATGATGAACCTCGGCCTCCGTCTCGGCGAGGGTAGTTACCTGTGGAACCAAGAGGCTCTTATCGCCCTCTGTTGGACAACCTCGGGTACACTTTGGACTTGAAGTATGTGCTGACAAGTGGCAAATATTTTGCTGAGGTTGCCTTGCCGCATCTACATAAAGTAGCTCTTTTAATCAACTGTTGCTGACAAAAAAAAAAAATTCTTAAATGTTTTAAGTACTGTATTTACTCATTTTATATATGTTGCCTGTTATAACACTGACTGGTCTTGCATGCAGCCCTCATACTATGTACCTTGGAAATTTTCAAGACAATACTACACTGAAAAAAGATGAATATTGGGCTAAGATACTGCTGCCAGCTGCAAAAAAACCCCACTAACAAGGAATTGGGGGAGGACAAAAATTTCATCAAAGGACCAGTGGACATTTACAATTGGAGAAATTTTCCAAATGGAAAAAACTAATGCCCAGACTGAGACTACAAGCACTGCAAGTGAATAAGAAATTGAGACAATGGACAATATGTGGACAAACTCGATAGACTGATTGCTGATGCCCAGCATTCTATTTTATCAATTTTTTTGGTGGGGGGATTGTTTTGTTGCTTCTGGTAACTGTTTTGTATGCAACTGCTTAAAAACGAATCAAATGAAAGTGCTCCTTGCAACCTCCCAGTAAATAAACACATAAATAAATAAACTGGCTGATCATTATGTTGTTGCGACTTTCCGCTTGTCCCATCAGGGGTTGCCACAGTGAGGTAAATCACATGATTTATTTTGACAGTTTTTACTCTGGATGCCCTGGATCTCCGACGTTGCCGCCTCCGCCTCCTCCACCTCCAGCGCTTAGCCACGAAAGCCCGGTGCCACCTCGGCCGCGTGGAGCGCGATCACGTGGAGCCAAGCGATACGCATCTGGGAAGTTAAGATGGGAGGAAACGTTTAGAAAATCACCGAGCATCCAGTTGGCACAGTTGTGGATGCTTGTGTGTCAGTTCTTACTTGCAGGAAGTTGTCGTGAGGGCAGAGGTCCTCGCGTGAAGTTGCTTTGGCCTCCGCGTGGTTCGCTGTAGGTTCCTCTGTGAGTGACGGCGGGCACTTGTGCGCTCCATGATGAACCTCGGCCTCCGTCTCGGCGAGGGTAGTTACCTGTGGAACCAAGAGGCTCTTATCGCCCTCTGTTGGACAACCTCGGGTACACTTTGGACTTGAAGTATGTGCTGACAAGTGGCAAATATTTTGCTGAGGTTGCCTTGCCGCATCTACATAAAGTAGCTCTTTTAATCAACTGTTGCTGACAAAAAAAAAAAATTCTTAAATGTTTTAAGTACTGTATTTACTCATTTTATATATGTTGCCTGTTATAACACTGACTGGTCTTGCATGCAGCCCTCATACTATGTACCTTGGAAATTTTCAAGACAATACTACACTGAAAAAAGATGAATATTGGGCTAAGATACTGCTGCCAGCTGCAAAAAAACCCCACTAACAAGGAATTGGGGGAGGACAAAAATTTCATCAAAGGACCAGTGGACATTTACAATTGGAGAAATTTTCCAAATGGAAAAAACTAATGCCCAGACTGAGACTACAAGCACTGCAAGTGAATAAGAAATTGAGACAATGGACAATATGTGGACAAACTCGATAGACTGATTGCTGATGCCCAGCATTCTATTTTATCAATTTTTTTGGTGGGGGGATTGTTTTGTTGCTTCTGGTAACTGTTTTGTATGCAACTGCTTAAAAACGAATCAAATGAAAGTGCTCCTTGCAACCTCCCAGTAAATAAACACATAAATAAATAAACTGGCTGATCATTATGTTGTTGCGACTTTCCGCTTGTCCCATCAGGGGTTGCCACAGTGAGGTAAATCACATGATTTATTTTGACAGTTTTTACTCTGGATGCCCTGGATTTTTTTTTTTTTTAATCCACATTTGGCACCAGCAGCGGTTGGGTATTGGGGCGCCGGCCAGAAATCGAACCCGCACATCGATAAAAGCAAGCAGCATGTACCAGCATATCACCACTGCAAATGGTCATCATGCTGTATATACTGTACAGGGATCCTGAGGTATAATATTTCAGAACATGTGAAAGTTGCATTTGGTTGTTGCTTACCAGAGAGTAGTACACTTTTAGGCTGCGGTGGGGTAAAAAAGCGAGTCTGATTGTGGAAGGTGGCCCTGCCTCTGTTTCCAGTGAAGAGTCCTCTGGTGGGCAGCTTTGGGGAGCTTTTTAGGGGCCGCTTGGGAGGCAAAAGTCCAATTGGGGTGGTAATGTCTTTAAACTCAGCTGCCACAAAGTCATCCACGTGCATGCTGGGAGGACGCGAAGTGTTCTGTTTGCGCTGGCGGAAGATGTCATGGGGTCGGCAAAAGTTCTGTCCTAATCCCCCTCGACCTCCTCGGCCACGCGGAGCCGCCATGATGTGTGCTCTCTTCGCAGGTTCCACATAATCTGATTTACCACTGCAAACAATCATTCAGTTAAGAACATTTTACGTGTGTCAAACCTGCTCAGCCTCGACATGATTATGATGTGCTACCTGGATGTAATGAAAGTCTCGTGCTTGTGCCTCCCCAGTCGGAAGCCCTTTTGAGCCTTGGCGTGACCTGGCGAGGAGGGCTCAGACAGGAAGGAGCGCTCCAGCTCTGCCTTCAAATCCAGTTCTGGGCAACATTCCTGAGCCAAACCCACCAGATCCACTTTCACCTATGACAAGCATCCACACAATCATGTTAAGGGACAAATAAGGATCTTGTCTCATTTTTCTAACAAATTGACTGACTCAATGTGACCAAAAAGCTACTGTATTACTCTGTTGTATGAATGGTATCAGGTGAATACTCAGGTTTAGTGTGCCTTCTGCCATCTAGTGGAACAGTATTTAATTCTTCGGCCCATAACCGGTACTATACATCACTAGCCTAGCTAGATGAACAACACTAAATTATTTGGAGTAAATACATATTCTGAGAGGGAAATAAAAAAGTAAAACTGGATCATTTCCCATAGCACACAGTGATCATCTTACACGACACGCCGCGCACCATAGTAGTTGGGGATCACTGTTCTAGATAAAACTGGAGTACTCACCATGTCAAGTTCAGTCTCTATATCATCCGTTTGGAAAGGAGAGAACCAAAGAGCCTTAAGTTGCTCATCAAGTGCTTCGGAAAGAATAAAAACGGTCCTACAGATTGAATAAAATGAGGGAGGATAGTTTACAGTTTGGTCAGGTTTAGTTTCACGGCAAGTTCAAGTGGAATAAGCACAAGTGCGTTGTTTCATTTCTGTGTATTGTCAGCAGCCGTACCTGTGATTAAACTGAGTTGCGAGAGTCTCAGGCGCTGGCAGAGTGGGCTCGGTATCAACTGCAGGAGGCTCATCCCCAGCAGCCTCCAGCGTTTGCCTCAGGACCGTCACGCTCTCTAATAGGGTCTCCAGTGAATCATCCTCCTTACAAAGTTTCTGCAAGGAAAACGATAACGACATGTGATCGAATACAAATCTACATCAACCTTTATTCTGTCGGAATCCAATGAATGGAACTTGGACTTTATCTGTACCTTGATTTGTTTCTCGAAAGTCAGAAGAGGATGAGAGTCTGACTTTTCCCACTGCAGGAGAGCCTTCATCTCAGATCCACTCAGTAACCGTGGAGGAGGAACAAAAGATGTCTCCTCGATGGATGCCTGGCCCTCCTCATGACACTAGAGTCATAAACATACGCACCCTTACTAGATAAAAATATATACATTTTTCACAAAAAAGTTTCAGGACACATCGTACACATTTTAGGTTTATCCACAGATTTTACTCGAAAGACGAACATCCCTAACTTTTGTGGGGAGCGTACATAAAATATGAGCAAATCTTACCACTGGTTCTGTGTTGACAATCTGTCGGAGGAAGTCCAACAAAGCTGAGAGCAGGTCTGCAGAGTCCTTGATGAAGGGAAACACTAATCTCTTCAGAAGTGAGAATAAGCCAGTATTGTGTTTCTTCAGAGCTCTGAAAAAATTGTACCACATTTGACCGAGGTTTAGAGAAGTGAAATAGTGCTTATAGGAAAACAAGTCTCAAAAGTGACTTGGGGGTGGGGGGTGGAGGGGAAGAAAACAGTGGTAGTATTTACACTTTGAGATGGTAAAGCCCATAGTCGTGCTCCGTGAGGAATGTTAAAGTCCTGATACAGGTAAGAAGAAGAGGTGCACTGCTGTTTCTATTTGCCAAAACCTCCATCAAGGAGTTGCAAATTGCTGACAGCATCTCTCGGCCTGGGAGTGCATTGGCCAGCTGTTCCACCTCTGACACGCAGCTGTCACCTCCTTG